TCAGAGATGCAAATAATTGAACATTTCAACAAAGTAATTAAACGTAAACGGAACTCAACCTTAAACCTTTGAACGAGCCGATCCTTCCAACCCACACACACAGGCACAGTACACAGCAGTGAGACCTCTCACACAGACCTACACGTCACTAAAATACACACAATACAGAGGCCGTCTGTACTCCACCACGAACAAGGCAGCAGCTGCAGCTACACGCAGCACATCAGCAGCTCAAGAGTGCATCACGCATATATAACGTCCCACTCTGACGGTGGCTCTCTATTGTCTGCAAGCTGGAGAATAACTGCCAGACTTGCTGTCTGACGGTCAGCATGTCCGGCGTGCTGCCAGACTTGCTGTCTGACGGTCAGCATGTCCGGCGTGCTGCCAGACTTGCTGTTTCACGGTCAGCATGTCCGGCGTGCTGCCAGACTTGCTGTCCGCCACAAACAGCAACGCCACCTCCAGCACCACACTAATCAGGGGATAAGTGCAGGTGGTGAAGGCAACAAACAGCAACGCTACCTCCAGCACCACACTAATCAGGGGATGGACAAGTGCAGGTGGTGAAGGCAACAAACAGCAACGCTACCTCCAGCACCTCACTAATCAGGGGACAAGCGCAGGTGGTGAAGGCAACAAGCAGCAACGCCACCTCCAGCACCACACTAATCAGGGGACAAGAGGAGGTGGCAGTGAAGAGGTTACTTCCAGCGATAAGCTGGACCAGTTTGGTCGCCGGCATATCAGCCTGTTGGTGATAGCGAGCGTCGTTGATTGCGTGATACGAGGGCGAGGTTACTGCCTTCACGCAATGCACACAGTCATAGCAAACACTGCAGGTGATAAACGTACAGCATGAAGAGACTGCATGCAAGCACATAAAGCAGTGGTTCCCAAACTTTTTCAGGCTGGCGCCCCCTTTGGCTCCCTAGTGAATTTCTAGCGCCCCCCCACAGACATATAAAAACATACGCCTCTTTCTTGAAATTTAGTACGCTGTAATTTTAAAACATAATGGTTAAACACAAATGTGTATTTCACAAATAGAACCCCATTTAGCAAACCAATATGTATTTCAGCTGTTTTAACTGTTTCAGCACTAGAAACCTAGGACGTCTCGGGCAAATTTACGGCTGGACTCGTGGCCGGTCACACTGCCAATCTCCAAATTCAGTGACCAAGGAATATCTCCCAAACCAATGAATGCAGCTCAATGAAACTTGAAACATGTATTCATCAGAACCTAACGGTGATGTTTACCCCGTGAAAATTTGTTAAATTTCACCTTCATTAGTGAGTTATATTGCGATACAGGCCGAAATTCGCAGTGATCAAAGAATTTCTTCCTAACTACTGAACAAATTTGAACGAAATTTTGAATATACATTCATAACTAGCAAACGGTGATTTTATTTTTTGTTTAACTTTCAATAAATTTTTTGATTTCGCCTTCGTTTGCGATTTTTTTTTTCACTTCACCGTCATTCTTGATTTCACACTTCCTTATATTCGGCCCGCATCGCCGGGTAATTTGTCGCTTAAATTCGCAGTGATCAAGAAATTTATTCTAAACTACTGAACAGGTTTCAACGAAACTTTGTATGTAAATACCTTACTTCTCAACGGTGATGTTTAGCTCGTGACAATTTTTATAATTTGCTTTCGTTATCGAGTTATACAGATATAGGGGAAACGACCGGCTTTTCTTCCGGACGGTTTAACCAAGAGCCATTTACGCATATAGCCATAAACGTATAGCCATATAACTCGCAAATGAAGGCAAAATTTAGAAAATTTTTACGATCTAAACATTACCGTTAGGTCCTAATGAATACGTGTACCAAGTTTCATCGAGTTACGTTCATTAGTTTTAGAGATATTCCTTGATTGTTGATTTTGAAAATTGGCCGTGAGACCGGCCGGCCGTTAATTTGTCCGAGATGTAAACCCAGGAGAGGTTAAAAAACAGATGTGGGTGAAAAAAACCATAGCTAGGAGTCATGTGCTGCAAGTGTTGTGTATAAATCGTCAAACAAACGCTAAAACTTCTGACTTCGACTTCGGACTGCCGCCCCCCTATCGCCCCCCTATGGCCCTCTTCTTCCTTAACGCCCCCCAAAATCTTTCCATCGCCCCTAGGGGGGCGATATCGCCCACTTTGGGAACCACTGACATAAAGCTATGCAGACAAAAACTTCGGGCTGCACACTGAGGCTAGAACGATGTAATTCATGTAACGTTTTACTATATGCATAATCATGAACATGTAGTAAAATTACTCTTTCAATTTTCACTAGTATCTGCTACATAAATTAAAACGTATTTAATAGTTTTACGTTATAGGTTCATACATTCGAGACTCTCGCAAGCATCCACAACAAGAAATAAAGTTCAGGATGGATGTATCCGAAGGCAATTAGAAGATGTTAGCCGTACTGTTACAAATTGAATTCCAACTCCATAAATTTATTTCTCTGAATTGTAAGTAATTAAATTGAATGAAATTTACGAGTTGCTTACAGTTTTGCTGCAAGGTGCTTGCGACGGAGACCATGCAACGTGTCGAGAACCTTTCCGCAGGAGCGCGGTTGCGTTAGTGGAAGTTCAGTCATCCGAAGTGAAAACTTTGCTGCTACTTTGCTTTGTTAACCATAATATACTAAAAATTTACCAGCGAAACTAAGCGTTGTTTCGCGGAATTTTGTTAATATCGGTTCAATAGTCTTATAGAATTATAATAATCGTTTTTCCTCTAGTCAGATTCAAATTACTACAACTCCGACTTAATTTGGCATTTATTTGTTAGAAATGCTAATTTTTTTAATAAATGCTTCTTCATGGATTGAACCCGAAAGTGCAACGAAAAAAATATTCAAAAATGGAGCAGAAGAAAACAACTTCGCGGATTGGCTTCGTTTAAGGTCAGTGGAGCAGAGACAAGCGAAGTCGAGGTTTCCAAAAAACAAGACAGGAAAACAACAAGAAAGTTTGAAGCAGTGTGGGAACCATGAAGTCGAAGCTAAAGTAATCGGAAACAAATCTAAGCAGATTAAGAAAGTTTATAGTGGCGTCGACTGGCCATGATATCTCGAATTGATATCACTGATAAAAGGCCATGTCTGTTTGTAACAGACTTGCAAAACTAATATACATATATTAACACGTATATGAGACGATAATTTACATAAATTCATAATATCAATTTTCTTTATAAGTCTTAAGGAAGAACAATTCATCTTAAAATTCAGCAGCCTTCATATCACGTTCTTTAGATGAACTTTGTCAAGTCCTCAACAGTTAAACGTTTGTTTATACAACAACAATCTAAAATTTGTTAAAACTCAATGATTTACACGTTTTCCAAGACCAAACCTCATATACGCAAGCAAACCACATACAAGAACGTTACTCAAGTCATCACAACTCACACGTTATCTAGACTCTAGAGCAAACCACACGTACGTTACTCAAGTCATCACAACTCACACATTATCTAGACTCTAGAGCAAACCACACGTACGTTACTCAAGTCATTGCAACTCACACATTATCTAGACTCTAGAGCAAACCACACGTACGTTACCCAAGTCATGGCGTATATCCGTCACCACTATACGTGACTGTCGCTCACCAATCAGTCACCAAATCTAGCAACACGCGACGCTCCGCTGCTCATTTGTTTGCATCACGACCACCAGCTGGCGTTGCCTTGACAGGTAATTTCTACGGAAGACTTTTACTCTCCTTGCTTTTCACCACTCCATGCAAAAGGCATATTTAGCAGGAGTGGTACAATTAAACGTCTATTTTTAGAGATGAGGCAGTTCATCTTATCATAATCAACAAGGGTATAATAAAAAATACGGGTAAGTGAAAAGTTTCAAGAATATTTGAAGTTGTTTGTTGAGTTTTATGTTGTGGTGATCGTGATAGCGGATGCCATGGTTAGTGTATACTATAGGATATATTATGGTAGTGGATACAGTGGTGGAACTTGGTGTTGAACAGCCACACTTAGCTCAAAATAATTTTATTGTGTTTCAAGTTCATTCACAAAATTATACTAAATCATACTCATCGTTCATGAATAAAATTCTACAGAAAAGGAAGAACTTAGAGGTCAGCTATTGAAGTGCACTTCATTAGCCTGTTATTTGCCAGGCGTTGAAACTCTTCGCCATAAAACGGTTGGATCAGACCGAGTTCAAGACGAATTTGAGTTCAAAACTCAAACAGTAAGTGAGTTTTAATTCCACGTGAATTATATCATGTATAAAATTCACGTTTTCGAATGCATTTAAATATTATAATGCTCATGCTCTTTCATTGCACGCAATAAACCCTGATGTATTTACACAAAAAAACAAATCACTTTATAAATGTGTGAAAAAAATTAAATGCTAAGAAAATGACAAGTAATAGTAAAAAATTCAGCGTTTCAAAGTTCTGAACTTATTTGCGATTTAAGCAAGCAAATGACATAAATAATTAAACTTTGTTCAAATAATAAAATATTTGATATTTTTAGCTTTTGTTATTTCATTCATAACTAATTAAAAACCGCGACCTAAGATAATTAAATCTTTATCGTAATGTCCGTAGAGTATTGCGATTGATGTCCATAGAGTACTGCGATTTTCTGCTGCGAATTTTTCTAACGTTCTTCAACGAATTCACAGGGCTTTAAATTGTGAACTAAAACTAAAGATCATTAAAATTAACTCTTTAACTAAAAATCCCTACTATTGCTCACAAATCGCGACGTTTTTACGTTTTCCTTGCGATGAATTATGGATACAATTATTTTGCTGTTACAGATTAATAAAAAGATAACTTACGTACCACAAATAATTATGAAGTCAAAAAAACCTGCAAGATTGCAAACTGTAACGATAAAAAAGAACAAAAATAATAATAACTAAAATATGACTCTTTGGGAAAGAAACCTTTATGCACTTTCAAGAAATCCACACCCCAAATTCGAATTGCGTTCACATTTGATATCCATTAAACGACTACCGTTAAAATAAAGTCTGTTCTCAGATTGGAAAAGTGAAAACTAATTTTAAAGAAGCGGGTCACGACCCTTACTCACCTATTCGTTGCAAGGAGTCATTCGGTGTGTCAAACTCCTGCAAGAAAGACGATAACACATGAAGAATTTCGCTTAAATAGAAAACAAGCCTGAAGTAAAATATTGTAAGAAGCAATTCCAAAGAATTTCTGGCGTGGAAAAAGGACTAAACATTAGTTTGAAATGAGTGATACTGATATACAAGTATATAGATATTAAGCCTATTTTACAGAAAATTTATATAAGCTTATCATGCGGTCAATACGAAATAAAGAATTTCGTAAAGAAGTAAATGTCGTGAGCTCAATCTTGGTTCCACACCAAAGCTATTGAAACGAAGAAACCACGTTTGAACTTTGAGCTACATTTACTACGCCTAATTCGGCCAAACTTCCTTACGACACAACACATTACAATTTACAAGAATACATTACCTATTAAAGAAAAGTTATTAAACGTGATCTACAATAATTAAAACTTAGTTATTCTGTTTTAAAAAAGATGTAGATAAGCACAATCGTTTATCGCGTACACTCATTTAATTGGTCAATGGTCATGTTCTCATAAAGATTCGAGAAATTTCCTTTAATGCAAGTCTATTAGCTAGTCATAAGAAAGGATAGCCACTGAAACGTTTTCTATGAGCATTAACATGTAAGAAAACTTAGATTTTCTTACACATACTGTGATACACAGTACGAAAACAGCTCTCTTAGTAAAATCCAACATTGTTACTATTATTTCAAAAGAATACGCATTGCATGAAAATGACCCTAACTTTAATGCTGGATCAATGTTTAATGTATTGACCAACTTTCTTAGGATTCCAACATGAATTCAGAGTTACATTAACGAGAAATGCATACGAAATACTACTCGCAAATATGCTTAGATATTTGCGTTTGCGTCTCGAAATCGTTTATGAAAATACAGCGACACGAAACGAATCGAGAAATTTCTGAAAAAAGTCACCGTTAAAGGTCAAAGTTCACCAAGTCAAAGTAAAAAAAAAAGTGGAAAGAAACAAAAGTTATAAATCATGAATCAAGATGATAATTGTGTCATGAAATTTAAAATAATTATGCTGAAAATCGTAATAATAATTTACATCCAAGAAACCAGGAAACGGGCTGTAGCAGATTGATATGAAATGAGCAGTATAGTGCCAAGCATACAGTGCACGACATCAAATAGATCCTAGATATTATATTAATTTTTTGTTAGTCTTTTATACCTGTCATAGTTTGAGTACAGTTGAATTCAAACTGTCGCCGAGTCAAAAAGATGCCACAAAACTAAAATGATAGTTGAAAATTCTTTGCGAAGCAAAACAGAACCATTCAAAAAATCTCTAAATTTCACCATTATTTAAAGACCGAATTGAGGATTAAATGGTACCGTATGTCTCATTATGTATAGTTATGTCCCGTTAACAAGGTGTGCTATGTAAATTCCGAAAAATTGTAAGTTTAAATTTTCTAGGATATCTTGAGTACCTAGCAGGTAGATATCCAAAAAACTATTGACTCCCGGTTTAATTTCACACATAATTCTCGGTGTATTTCTTTGATGCCTTCACATAAATCAGATTAGAAATTACTTGCAAAATAATACAATAACTCACCGACGCGATGTTGCCAGAAGAAGAGGCTGTCGCAGCCACCGACGTTATGTGAGGTTGAGGTGTCGAAGTCAGGGCTGGGGTAGACGTTGCTTTCAAATGATATTTCGCCGACGATGTTTCCAAGTTATTTCCATAAGTATAGTAAGAGGCAAATGGAGCGAACGCATACCTCAGGTTGTCGATGTGACCTGAACGGTAAGCCGAAGTTGTAGTGTCTGTTTCTTCATTGCCCCCGGGACTTGTAGGATAGGTTAGGCAGGTGTTGATCGGAAACGGGAGAGTGCTTGAAACTACTGGATTCAGATGCAATCGATTTCGCTCCATTGCAGCAGTGTGCTCAGTTTTCCCGAAAATAAAAGTGTCGGGGTCTAGTTCCAAAAGTTCCTGGAGTTTAATTTCAGGACTATAGCATGCCTTTACATTCAATTGCTGAGGGCGGGCTAAGGGCGAACCAGCGATCCTCCCCGAACAATTTCTAGATTTTTGTTTCAGCGGCAGTGGAGGACGCAAAAGATTATCAGAGTTCGCCACAAGAGCATCTACAGAGACGAAATTTTCTTGCAGAACAGGCAACGCTCCTCCAGATTTCTTTTTAGCAGCTAGAGAAACATCGCTGAGGCATTCCTTCAGTGTATATCTATTATTCGTTGATTGGGGATATTTAGAGAATAAGCATACAAGACGAGGCTCAGAGTTAGTGCGACGACCAAGCTCTCCGGAATCACCAGTCAGCGCCTGACTGCAGACCGGTGCTGATTCCAAGCCGTCACTTAAACGACGTTTATCATTAACGCAGTTTTGTATGGACGATGACGTGAAGCGATTGCGTACCGACAAACATCGTGAAGCGATTGAATAATTACACTGACGATTCGGCTTCGCAACTGACATATCTAATTTTATATCTTCAATGGGATTCTTAGCATCAAGGGTTCTCTCGTCAGTCTGCGTCTCCTGGTCACAAGTAGCCACAACTCGAAGGGCTTGAGCATCTTGAATTTTAACGTTCGCCAGGTTGGCGGCGAGCAACGCCTCGCGTGCGCGTCGTGACGACAGACTCCGTCTGACTTTCCTGTCTATCGAAACATCGACGCCCGTGTCCTCTGAAGACAAGTTGGACGTCGAGCGTTCCATGGTTCTCAGGGCGGTGGATGGCAGATTTGCCATAGGTATAGGCGGAGATGTAGATATGAATGCTTGCGGTGGAGGACTGACCGAAGGGCGGGTGGATGTCGTTCCAAGTCCAGACTCTTCGTTTAAGTCGTCCAAAGTGTCCAGAGACTCGGATAACGATGGACTGGATTCCCTTTGAGGTGGAGAATTAGGAGTAGTTGGTGTCGAATCTGGGGTAGAATTCAAGGATGTGACCCACCATGCATCTCTTTCATCATCAGTACCGCTGTCATCCTCCTGTTCATCTCCACCATCTGCATCCATGTCATCCTCAGTAGCACTAAAACCAATTGATGATGCGTAAGGATCGACAGATGCAATATCACTCAACCAGCAAGTAGAGGCGGCGGGCGATAAGTTCAATAGAGTCGTTTGGGTGCCTACGCAGCAGGTTTTGCTGAGAGCTACGCCATTGTTGCAGTCTGTGGCGGAGCTTTTGTTTTCGTCGCGCGTCACTGCCGTTGGCTCTAAAATTCTGGAGGAAATTTCCCGCAAAAAATCTCTTGAGGCTTCTTCACACTGCACAACAGAGAAAATAAATTAATGATGTTTCAGATAACTGCATCGGAATAAAGAAATGTGTAATGATGAAATGCATTATTGGACAGGAATTAATGGTGTTTGTGCATTGCGCATAACACTGAAATCTGCACACATTTTTCACGTCAGGGTCATGGATATGTCAGGTAGATTTTCATGTCAGGGTCATTTATCAAAATCTATTCAAACTGACAAGTAAAAACCCTAAAGCGGTTCTCGACGGCTTCGAATAACTTTTTATCTTTTGGTTAGTAATTGCCAATTCTAGGAACATTAGAAAATTTGGCAACTCACCACGACAGCTTTCCCATACGATATATCCTTGAAGCTCTTCGAGGGCCTCAAATCGTGCGTACTTTTATAGCCGTCAAAGCACCAGCTTCTACGCACCAAACTCCCGCTCTTGGTCACCTTAGAAACGCTATTAACGATGTTATTGTTGGGTGCAACGCGCTGATTTCTGGACCATTTCTGTTTGGAGAGATCGCTTCGTCTGGGTTTGAGATTATCGAAATAATACTGTAAAAACTCGGAATTGTCCTCCAACTCTGGGCTGCTGTCGTCGCTGTTTTTCACACGCTCTTTTGAAGGTTTGGCAAAGTTGCAAGCAGCCGAGGAGTTTCGAGTGACCCATTGAGAACTGCGTGGCTTTTTTATTAGTAAGCACGTATCACTGTTGCGCTTTGGTTTAACTTTTCTCTTTTTGCGTCTGTGGTTCTCAGGAAAGTTGCGCTCCTCAGTCACATGCTCGTGCTGTGGATGAATTTGCGGCTGTGCTGATCTAGGTTCAGGCGACGACATAGGAGAAGGACCGTCGCTAGAGTTATCCTCGCGATGCATGGTAGTGGAGAGCGGTGCAGAGGAATGAACCACAGGAATATGTGCAGCCACAAGATGTTCGGGAGCAGGAGGCAGTTCAGCAGAAGGGTGTTCAACTGCAGGTATCATAGCTGAAGGCCGATCCGTTGGAAAATTTGTACAAGAAGCTTCTTCAGCAGATTCCACCGTATCATTCGTTGAATTTAAGCATGAAGCCCCATTCGCAACCTTTGAATTTGGAGGCTCGGGTGAATGCTCAACATAACGGACACTTGCTGATGCGACGAAAGCTTTTGAAGTCAATTCGCTGGCACTTTCATGAGTACTGCTGACAGCAGACAGTGAAGTCAACGATGATGCCAGAGAGTGAGATGAAGATATGGGTACATTTGCTGATTTTGCTGTTGAATAATTTTTATAAGGTAATGTTTCATGTGAAATCAATATTTTGTCAAGGCTAACCTTCTCTCTCTTGGAACAGCTCACATCATTACACGTATGAGCCACAGATGGACACTTGTTAGGGGAACATTGCAGCGGTTTGTCTTCCATGACTTCGACCTCTTCGGCAGGAGGTAGAGCATCCCATGAAGTTGTATTAAATGCAGGAGGCACGTATAGAGTCTGGGCGCCTGGTCTCACTGGCAGAGTATGTCTTCGGGCATCTTGGCATTGGAAGGGCACCACATAATATGCAGGAAGTGAAGGTTCACTCCGGCGACCTAGTCTAGGAGCATCAGGGAGGGTGAGGAACTTTGTTGCTAAAGCTTTGCTACTTGAAATCAGCGAGTTTTGGTTTGAGCAATTTTTGTTGTCCTTCATACTTGGAACGTGAGCATACCTGCCTATTGAGCGAGATTTTTCCAGGAAAATATCATTTTCAGAATAAATACCGTCGACCACATTTCGGCCATAACCTGGAATTGAATGCCTCCCGTTTTTGAAATCTCTGCTCATTGTTGAGCTGTTGGAGTTCACCGAATTTCCCAATGTCGAAGTGGATGACCGTCGCTGGTTAAAAATTGAGATAGGCGATGATGGAACATCATAAATTTCAGTTCGCCAAGCTTTACCACCTGCTTTGAGCAACGGAGTTGGGGCAGGAGTTGGCACAAAGTACGTCTTTTGGGACAGCGGAACGAACGCTTCGTCTAGAGAATGGGACCGTGACAACCGAGGACCCACACGGACCAACTGACACGGAGACGCAGATGCATCAGGATGTTCGGATGAACTTATCCCATGTACCGCATTAGCACCAAGGCTCACGCGGCGGCGATGGCGAGGCAGAGTCCCGTACATCCCGGGACAATCTCCAGGCCCTAGGCTGCTGGCGGAAGCCCCCATCTTGCTTGTCGAGTTTTCTTCCGGATTCTTGATTACAAAATCTGGTCCTGAAGTTGTAGCTTGCAAATTAGATAGAAAATTATCAAATGCATCGGAATTTGAAAATGACCTGCAAAGAGCGAAGTGATGTTTATTTTCCTGATTTACTTTAGATTGAACGCTTAATTTGGAAAAAGATTTTCGAGGTGGTGGCTTTGGTGGCCGACAAGTCTCAGCATGGGCAGGTGAGTTCAATGAAAGAGAACCTAGTCTCGGAATGGCATCACTACTGTCAGGTATTAGATGATTTTCGCTGCAATCAAGTCTTGATGTGTTCAAAGTTGTGCTTAATTGCAAGTTGTATATTTCTTCTTGTACGATGGCATCAAAGTCTTTCAACAGCCCTTGAGACCAAGTCTGCAAATATGAATCTCGCAACGAACTTTTTCGCCCTGTCGCTCGTAATGATGGAGAGGAAATCCTGCGTGCAGGCAATGCTTTCTGAGGTGAAGTTTTCTTCCTCAAGGTAGGAGGACTAGGTGTCTTAAGAGGTAGTCGATTCGGTGATAATTGGCGAGATTTCAGCGGAGTTGGCGGGGATTTTTGTTGTAGCTTCTGGAGGATTTTGCGAACTTGCGGAGGTGATGGGAGAGCAGTACTCGTCCCCTTCAGGCTGGTCGGCGGACGACAGATGTCAGCAAACGCCGCGCTGATGTCATCCTGAAATAAAAGAGCTTCATTAGAAGCATTCTTGAAAAATTAAAAAATTTAAATAAATACAGAGTTAGAGTAGAAGCAGACGTATCTCAAATTAAGCAACACAGGAGAACTCGTCGCAGTGGTCCTGACGAGCCTCGAGGGACGCTCATTACCAGAGTCATCTTGACGAAGTTGGCGCCAGCAAAGGACTCGACAAAGTAAACTAGATCTGCGTTCTAGCCCAACCATGTCTAGATTTTCCTGCTTTAGCGAGCCGCCGCCTCAATGGACTCCTCTATATCACCGTTTTCTGCTTGTTGGGCATCAATGGAGGTTTCTGATCACGCCGCGGCAGAACCACATGCCTGCCTTATATACTCGACTGGTCTTATTCAGGAGCAAAGAAACTGACATAATTTACCTTATGAAATTTGTTCTTATTGTGAATTAGACATTTTATTTAATTTAATGCTATATTTAAAAAATAAAGGCAGCTCTCGGATTGACTAGACATTTTGTGCAAAAATTAACTAAGTTGATTATCTTTCGTTGATATTAACGAGAAATTCTTGCTGATCTAGAAGATCTGTACTCTGTTTACGTTACACGTTTTCTTCGCCAACAAGTGCAAATGTTCACAGCGCATTTGAGCTTTTGCCTGCGGATGCCTAACGGTCGGCAAAATGCTTTTAACTTGATGTACCCCAAAAAAAAATAAAAAGTAAAACACAATATGAAAGTACCGGGAGTTAAAAAACAGTCCACATTTTTTTTTTAATTAGAATGGAATGATAATGATTAAATAAATAACCCCGAAGTACCACAATTGTATCAAGCTTCATGCATTTCTTCTATACAATAACTTTATTTCATACTCGACAAATTAAAGTGTTTGCAGGCTCCCCACACTCAAGTCATTTAGTATTTACACAACACATCCATGTCATGGCGTAGTTTGTCTAAGATGCAGGTAGTTAGCGCTGGCTAATTTACTCTTCAGTAATACATTGACGGGCTGTCGTGTCAGTACTGATCAGTTTTCTGAACCATTGTTGTAGGCCGAGAAATTAAATTTAGCTGCAAAATTAAGTTTTCCACGGTAATATTCGAAACAATCGAGTTGCGCAAGGTTAAGGGGAACATCTCGATAAAAAAAAAACGAAGAAATTACGTTTTCTGTGTTTTCATTTCCTTTTGCAGAAAGAATTATTCAAAGCGGCTGCAACAAACCGTGATGAGGTAGCTTTCGTGGTTCTTTCACATGGGAGTTTTAAACTTTTATAAAATTAACCATTTTATAGGTATATATTATTTAAATACATTTCTTTACTTAAATCTATCTTTATAGATCATAATTT